GTGGATCAGAAGGTTGAGTGCTCACCATTCCCTGGACAAGCACCACATCGCAGTGATCAAAGCCAAGATGACAGAATCAGCAGCACATGCCTGGAGATGCGTCACCTGCATGAAAATCTGTGGCAAAAGCCACCAATTTTGTGGAGTATGTGGAAAATCATGGCACCTCTGTGCGGACCCTACCTTTGTCCCGGCCTCTTCCAGCACCAGACAAGTCCAATGGTCCTATGCCACCAATTGGAACGACCCTGCATGGGAAGATACAGCCTGGCCGCAGGAGCAAGACAATGGGGATACATGGACAGCATCCCCAAGAAGGCGTACAGTACCGAGGAGAAGGTCGAAAAAGGCCAAACCACTGCAGCAGGAAGGGAAATCGAAGGGCAAAGGCAAAGCCCAAAGGAAAGCTTCCGATGGCGAGACTTTAGGCCCATCAATGGCAAGCCTAGCGGCAGCAGATCCACCATGGCTCACCAGCCTTATGCAGCAGCCACCCGTGGCACCAACGCCGAGCTCAACCCCACCGGAAGACAAGCAGATCAAAACGATCATGGCTGCCCTGCGCAAGCACAACGACACCCTGCCGCCCGAACTGCAAGCCTTCGTGTCCGAAGCAGCTCAGAAAGAAAGTCAGCAGGAGACAAAACAGATGCACCATGCCGTAACAGCACATGGGAAAGCCAAGAAGGAGCTCCAGCAGGCCCAATTGGCACGCCTCAATTTGCATGCAGCATGGAGCAGGAAAAACAACTGACAGATCGTGTTACAGCTGCGGTGGAAGCCCTCGATCAAGCCAAAGTCAACTTGGCAAAGTCCAAGCAGACTGCTGGAGTAGAAGTCAAAGACGATGCAATGACCATCAGCGAGGACGATACGGAAAAAGACGTATCAGGACCAACAGCAGAGAAAATCAAACAAGGGATTTCCAATCTCCATTCAAGCCTGGAAGCACTCAAGTCTTCCGCAGAGCAAATGGTCGAAGAGGAACAGCAAGCCTTGAAACGACCCAGAACCAATGCATTTGCCCCGGATTCACATGCTACCAATACAGGAGAAATGCCCGATTTTGGCTAGGCCCTGCTAATATCTGTTTGGATGATATTGCCCAAGGGCCGTCATGTCATGATGTCGATGCGCACCCCCTCGTACTCAAGTGGTTGCACACAATCGTACATGACCCAACATACCTGTCAGAATGGGCTGCAATTGATCAAGCTAGGCACCTGGCCTGGACCCTTGGAGGCTCTCTCCCAGTGATCCTGCCTCGTATTATGGAAATGCCTAAGCCCATCAGTGTCAAGCCTGTCAGGAAACACGTCAATTTTGCTGAAGAGGTAGACGTATGCATTTTCTCCGATGTCTCACCTTTTTCATTTGCTTCACACGTGAATCACAGCAAGGTCCTTGCCACCATTTTGACGGGCATTGCCAATTTTGCCAATTTTGCGTTGCCTCAGAAAGGGATGACAGACGAACAAACCATGACGGTTTGGCCCATCAATCAGACCTCTGTCACAGACAAAGGCGCCATTGTCTGGCACCTGATTTCTAGTGGTATGTTTGACCATGAAGGAACAGCCCACGATCATGTTTTGCCAGAAAGTTTTGATCCAGCCGCCATGCACCTGCAGTCTCATATAATTAAGTACGCCAATGGACACGAAGCTGCCCATGCGTCCAATTGTGAAGGATCTCAGAGGACCACTCCAACAGCAGACAACAGTTCTCCTGTGGTTTACCCAGACTTCCGTGGTCTTGATAAGGTACCCTTCCACAGCTTTCAGATTCAACAGCAGGTTCGTATCAATGATGCCAAACCGCCAATCCAGCAGTACCGCTTAGACCATCAAAGCCCTCTGGACACAAGAGACGAGTCTGATGCCCAGACGGATGATGAGCAGGAAACTCCGGGCGAGGATGGTGGCAATGATAGAGGACCCTATCTACCCGCATTTGCCCGTAGACTGGAAGCCTTGCTCAGAGCCAGAAACCTTCACCCTGACGATGGGGATTTTGACCTGCCAGTCAGAACATGGTATATCAACCACAATACTGTACATCGTTGGACCTCACCACGAATTTTGCAGCTCGTCGGACAGCCTCACACGTGGGAAGCCCAAATCACGTCATTGTGGATTGACCAGATCGATGACCAAGATTGGTACGACGTGGTGGTCGTGCAGCCTGATCCACCACGTATCCCCCGACATCATTTTGTTGCGTTAGATTTGATTGTCACCCAGTCTTTGGAATCCACCAGGCAGCCAGGGTTGATCACAGTGCTGCCGACCAGACCAGAAATTGGGGACATGTATGCAGTTGCAGGTTCCTTTCCAGAAACCATCAGCGGTCAAGATGTCATTAGGATTGCCGATGCTGCGGCCTTTTGCCGATACCGGGTTTGCACAATCACGCACAGATGGCAACAAATCCCATTGACGCTGACCCCTGCTCACATTGTGGGACCTGGGGATGGATATCAAATTGTGATACATGTGCCACGTCACGCCAACCCACAACATGATGCGCATGGATATGATGAAGGTCCCCCTGTTGAAAAGGCCGCCAAACGCAGTCGAAGTGAACCAGCCAGTTCCTCCACAGACCACGGACCTCGTGCTGGACCTGTTAATCAGGACATCACCCCAATGCTGCACATCTTCCAATTTGAGGGGCGGAAGTCTTAGTGCCACTGGAAGTATCCCAGCAGCTGCTGCCTACCCATGAGTTAGCCAACCTGTTGCAGGTACCTCTGGACTGCCTGGAAAGCTTCCATTTCATGCCAATACCCCCCGATGGACTCCCTGAGCAAGATGTGGCCGCAATCGTTCAAAGAACTGGTGATGTACAGCTTCGCACGACCGACAGACTCATCATGATAGATATCATGTATCATCATCATGAAACACGAGTTTACATCCAACCGACGGTGGTCAGGGAGGTTAAAAGAGTTGGGTATCAGATTATCCGACCGCATCTTCTCCTAACAGCAGCAGTCTTTCATTACTGCCAGGCGCTGACTGACCACTGTGAGGTCTTCCTGGATGGTGTCATTTGGCCAGAATCCGAACATTCCCCACGGAATGTAGAACATGGGTCCTATGCTCTCATTGAGATCTCGCCGCCAGCAGGATACCAAGTCGACACCAGGTTGGCAGTACGAACCCTGCAAGCTGATGGAGAGACAGATGCATTCATGCATGAGATTCAGGAAACGGACCCACAGAACGATCACATGCAGCTCACACAAATCACCGCCAAGATCTACAGGCGCATTCCCATCCGGTGCTTGCCGCATTACAAGTCGCAAGCCATAGAGACAGCTGACCAATTGGGTGCGGTACTGCAGTCACTGACTGATCTGAACCCCCAATGCCAACAGAGCCATGCCGATTCGTTCAATGGTACATTCCCACATGATGCAGTTGAGTCACCATGCATGCAACCAGTCCAAGCCGCCTGTGAGCAGCCGTACAATGATGCCAGTGTACAGACATCAGTAACAGCAGGACCGGCCCTTGCTGAAACTGCCAGCCATCCGCCCAAAGATGTCTTGCATGCGTCAATTCCTCCAACAGGACTGCGATCCAACCATGGTGGTAGACCTGAGCTTCATGCACCTAAACAATGCACCTTGCACAGATACTTTGCCCAGGTCAAGGAGCAGCAGTGTGCTGCTCCCCCGTTGCCCAATGGCAAAGGTCAGACAACATTGCATGCCTTTTTTCCTGTCAAAGCCAAAAGCACTGCGGCACCCACGGTTGAGATAAACCACCAGATGGCCACTGATACCCTCATTGATGGAAAACTACGAGGCCACCTGCATGACGTGACACGCATTGCAAATGACCACACAGTGTCACCGCCAACACTCACTACCCACAGGCCCCGATTGACCGGTCTGGAGCGACAACCGACTCCGCCGCGACCAGCATGGCTCATTCATTTGGACAATTTGTTTGAAGAGTTAGCCACCACTGTACACCCAGAAGTAGGCCCTGTGCTGCGAGCGGAGGTTTGGTACCTACACCATGTCACTTTTCCTGAATGCCCTGCGCCACGACTGGTTGAGCTTGACAGTTTCAGAGAGCTCTGGTACGCTGACCTGTGTATGGTATGGTTGGACCACATTGCTCGCAACCAACCGTTACGAGTCCTCAATGTGCTGCCCAACCCTCCATACCAACTACGGCCCCATGCTGATGTGCATGTCATCCTCGAGCAGGGCATGGACCCAATGAAAGCGGCATTGCACTTCACCACCATTTTCCTTGGAGGTACACGCATTGGTTTGTTTCAGAGGGTCGAGTCCACATCCAACTGGATTTGCACACAAGATATGATTGACCGTCATGGCTTTCAAACACAATGCAGTTTTCGGACATGTCACATGCACTCTGGTAGACTCAGGTTCATGATGAATGAACGTGAAGAGATCTTTTCAGGTATGAGTGCAGTGCTCACTGTTGGCCCTGTACCCACTCAGCATCCAGCCCTAGAAGGAGACAGCAGCGGAGCCCGCACCGCCGCACAAGAACCAGAAGCAGAACCTGAATCCGACCTCACCAGTACGATGCAGACCAATTCAGCGCCATCTGCTGCACGACAAAGACCGCATGACTCTGGACGCACGATTGCCGACGGCACGGCAGACAGTACAAACTCGACAGTCCCAAGCCACCGAATGCCTCCGCATGTACTCAGTGAATTCAGGCAGACTCTCGAATGGCACATCCAAACTGGACCAGCAGCATGCATTCACCAAATGAATGCTCCAGTGATTGTGCACACGTGGTTTCTAGATTCACTTCGAGTCACTCACACAGAGGAGTTTCGGACAGTCCAGTTGCAGCCGCAACAGCATACATGGCACAGTGACATTTTAGCCAGATGGCAGGACAAGCTGGACCCAACTTTGCCCACTCAGCTCCATGTAGTCACCCCGACGCAATGACCTATGGAGAGCTGCCCTCTTGGCCGTTTCCGTTGACCATAGACCCATGGACAGCCCCAAATACTATTGTGTTATGCTGGACCATGAGACGGATGTTGAGCAGTTAGGATTCATGTCCTTGATCAAACATCCTGCCAACCCCCAGGCAGACAACTACTGGATTCAGGCCAAGCATGGTGAAGTCATCATTCCAGAAGGCACCACTTTTCCAGTACGCCATGGCTACAGTTTTGAACTCACGGCCTTCAGAAGGGAGGACCCATGGGAGGAAGGGACATCGCTGATCCAGATGCAGTTTACCAAGATCCGCAAATCGATCGTTGGCATTCACCGCATGTTGTGTACCTCTGCACATCAGTATATGATCAGCAACACACTTTCTGGAGATGCTACCACCCTGCAGTCAATCAGCGTTGCAACTGACCCCAGTAATGCAAATCAAATTTGTGATCACTTTGCTGCGCTGACCTTTTTTGCAGCGCTTCAAGCCCTGTGGCAACCGATTGCAGTGCGAACAATGGCTCACGTGCCACCACTGGTAGCCATTCAAACGTGGTATTTGGATCACATCAGATACCCTCAGAACTTTGTTTCCAGGACTGTTTTGCTGCCAGCCAATCCCGAAGACTGGATTCAACGTATGCGCAGTGTGTGGCATGATGTTATCCTGCCGGGCTGCCTGTTGCATTTTGTAATCGTTCAGCCGGATCCTCCATTACTGGAGCTGACCACAGCCGCACATATCCTGATTGTACAGCAACCAATCAATGGATTCAAAGCAACGCTTTTCACGGTATTTGACTCAGCGATGCCGATGCAGCCTCCAACAAGGTTTGCCTCAATTGCCCCATCGCCCCTCCCCCAAAGCACGTTGCTGGCACTTGCCTATCGGGATATCCATTGCCAACTGCCAACCATTGAATGCTCGACATGGGTCGGGTGACAATGAAGTTCTGCCTGGACAAACTGCCCCCATTATTGATGGGCATTCCTTGGCTATTGCAATTCACCAGCACCATCACCCAGGACCCGATGATGCTGATGCCTGGGACCACACCCAGCAGCCACGGAGTTCCCGAGGTGACTTGCAGGCACAACGGCCTATCCAAGAAAACATTGCCAGCGTACCCAGTCACCTGGATGCCACAAGTCGAGCTCCACTGGCCACCCAGCCAAACAAAACGCCGGTGCTGCTCAATTTGGAGGCCGTGATTCCAGATGAACGCACGCATGCCGACTCACAGTTAGACGACACCCTGCCACAGATGCTTTGGTTTTCCGATGAAGCCTGGATGCTACGCATGCAACGGTGCCCGCCTTGCCAATTGCGACCTCTACCAGACGGTCTGCGAATGCCAGACGTGTGCTACTGGCCCCTGATACACCCAGTGCCACCAGACTCAGACTCCACGAGCCCCCTCACCCTGTACCTGGATGGCTCCGCAAACGGCACCCATGCAGCTTGGAGCGTCATTGCCACGCTCCAAGTCACCCAAATGGACCAAGTGACTGAGGCATTCATTGGTTGTCTCTATGGAGTTGTACACATTGCACCCGAACATCCTGCATGGGCGGGAGCTCAATCTATGGATAACATTGCTGCAGAGTTATCCGCACTTGCATTTGCGCAGCAAGTGGCCATCAGATGGCCCCACAACCACAGCATTTGTATCCGCCCTGATCTCTCGCTGAGCCGGCTTGTAGCCACTGCGACAACAGTATGCAAATCCAACACACTGCTATCCCAGATATGCCGTGCTCAAGGTTACTGGTTGGCGCCAACCACCCACATCAAGGAAATCAGGGGCCACAAGGGATTTGCATGGAACGAACTGGCTGACGCAGTTGCCAAATGGACTCTACACAATGCTCCCGAAGAAGCACTGGATGAGTTTGCAGCTCTGCACGATTTCGCCACCCACCAGCATGATGTTGCGTGGACTTGGATGCAAACCACCCATGAGTCAGTGGCCGCCTGTTACCCCCCCCTAATTGAACAGCAGATCCTGCAAATCACGCAGTCAGACTTGAAGCTTGGCGTCAAGCCCATTGAGCACTGTGAGGACGCTGATCCTGGAACCCTTGCCATGCCTTGGACGATGAAGGCTACCTCTGCCAACGTCCTTGCCGTTGACATCCGCAGTGTCAAAGGCACGCCTTCCAGACGAAACAGTCACCGTACTATACGGCTTGACCAGCACTGGCACAAACTCCAAACCCATGTTATTGGAGTGCAAGAAGCACGCACCCCATCAGGCCAATATCAGTCCATGCACTACAAAATATTGGCATCCGGAGCCACCGCCACCAAAACGCCGCTATATGGCTGTGAATTGTGGCTCCATCGTACGCTCCCCCTTGCCAAAACCACCGATGGCACCTCATTGACCCTGGGCGAAGCCAAGCTTGTGGTGCACTATGCCGATCCAAGACGACTCATTGTGAAAGCCCAGATCGAAGCCATATGTTGCACTTTCATCGTTTTACATGCTCCATGCCAGACGAACCCAACCCCAGGGCAGCCTACGCCTGGTGAGAGAGCCCAGGCCTGGTGGGATGAAAGCAGCAGAATCCTCACCAAATGTGGTACCCAAGGACTTTGCTGGCTGTTTGTAGATGCCAATGCCCCACTTGCTGACACAGCCACTGACCTCATCGGCCCCCTCGGCGCAGAGCCCACCAATGCTGCCGGGGAAGCCTTGACGGAATTTCTCCAGGCCCACAGGCTTGCGGCCCCGTGCACGTTCGACCAGTACCACGTCGGTCAGACGCAGACATGGACACATGCAACCGGGAAACGAAGCCGCAAAGACTATATCTTTATCCCGGAACACATGCTGCCGTGTGTAACATCCAGTCATGTTGATGTATCACATGACACAACGTTTGCGCACGAGGACCACATCCCTGTTACCCTTATCTGCAGTGGATGGCACACCCCAGCGCATCCACCTCCACGGTACACCTGGGATGAAGAGAAACTCCTGGATCCAGCCTGTTGTGATGCATTTCAAGCTGCACTGCTTACCCTCCCCATTCCAAAATGGAGGGTGGCCGTTGATGATCACGCGGCCATTTTTGAAAAGCAGGTCTTGGATCTTAGCCAACAATTCTTTGCCAAACGCTCGGCTAAGGAACGCAAAATCTCCCTAGAAGAGGACACCCATGCCCTCATTGCCTTCAAGCGCCAAGCGCTTGATTATGGTCGCAAGAATGGGGTCATCCATGACCAATGCTTCCGAGCCGAACTTAAACAGGTTGAGAAGGACGTTGCCAAGCTTGTGCGCAGGGATACCCAAAAGCACTATGACCAGGTACTTGCGAAGCTTGATGCAGCTGGTGAGATGTCCAATCACCGACTGGTGTACAGGATGCTCCACAGATTAGGCCGCAAGAAAGGTGGAACACCCCCTGGCCCAAGACCGCTCCCAATGCTGCGCAAGTCCGATGGAACCCATGCCCAAAGTTACAATGAACAGCAGATGATGTGGATGGAACAATTCTGTGCCATCGAAGCAGGCCTGCCAATCACCTGGAATGAGCTCTTGCGCAGAAACGAAGCAGCCAAGGAGACCATGCCAGCCCATCAGTTCGAACCAGCCGTATTCCCCACTGCATGGGACATCCAAGCGGGGATAGCCTCGCTCAAGCGGGACAAAGTCCCAGGACCCAATAACCTGCCTCCAGCTGTCATGAAGGCAGGCGGGGAAACCATGGCACGGCGCTGTCATGAAGGCAGGCGGGGAAACCATGGCACGGCACCTCACAACCCTATTTGCGAAAACCACTGCCCATGCTGCCGAACCTTTGCATTGGAAAGGCGGTCGCCTGGTCCCCCTCTGGAAGGGCAAGGCGGCACCGGATTTGGCACATGCGTACCGCAGCATATTCATCTCGAATTACAGTTCCAAACTGTATCACCAAACAGTCCGGCGACACTTAGTCAGGACGTGGGAAGCAGGGATCAGCCACCTCCAATGTGGAGGAAGAAGAGGAGTAGGCACCGACGTAGCCCACCACATTGTGCAGTTGCACCAACATTGGGCAGCCCAAGCTAAACTCCCTACAGCTGTGCTCTTCCTTGACCTCAGGTCGGCCTTTTACATGGTTTTGCGCCAAACCATCACTTCCTTGCCGTCCAGCAATGAGGCGTTTCTGGCTGCCATGGCGAAACTTGGTCTCCCCATCGACCAAGTCCTTGCTATGGCCTCTTCTGCGGAAAAAGAAGTTGCTACAGAAGGGTTGTCCAACCATCTGCAGAGGGTATTGCATGATATGCTCACGAACACGCACTTCACAATCCAAGGGCTCCAGGACCCATGCCTTACCACACGTGGTACAAGACCAGGGGACCCGGTGGCGGATGTTTTATTCAATCTGTGTATGTCCAAACTGCTGACGGATTTCCATGCCATGATGGCAGCCACGGACACCCTTCCCTGGCTAGGCCATGCCGACTGGGTAGCCGATTTCACTGAAGCAGAGCCCCTTCCAAGTGAAGGATACATAGATGTCACGTTTGTGGATGACTGTGCCATCCTTGTACATGCCAAGGACAATCACCGGATCCCCCAAATCATCATGCCCATTGTGGAAGCATTTACAGCAGCTGCCGCCAAGAGAGGACTGGAAGTAAACTTCGATAAAGGCAAAACTGAGTTGCTATGGTCCATCACAGGGAAAGGAGCACGAGCTGCCAAGGAACAAGTGTTCCACTCGGGACAATGCCTCCGATGGACTGGCGAGGCGGGATCCTACAGCCTGCATGTCTCGCACCAGTACAAGAATTTGGGAACCTGGACCCAAACAAAGAACAGACACACCAGACAAATCAACGCCAGAGCCACTGCAGCCCGCCAACAATGGGGGCAATTAGCCCGGTCCTTTTTCACCAAAAAGCTGGCCCTGTCGACTCGAGCCCAAGTGTTTCAAAGCCTGGTTGTGTCCAAGATGCTCTATAACGCCCATGTATGGACAGGCGTGAAAGCACATGAATGGGACAAATGGGCGAACCAGCTCCGTGGTCCCATAGCGCTGCTCATGAAAGGAGTCCTCGCCACTGCCAGAAAGTTCAACCACACCACTGACCACCTATTTGCATGGTGTGGCATATTGCCGCTGGCCCAGCAAGTGCATGCACACAGACTGAGGTTTGCTCAAAGGCTCTTCCAGCGATGCCCGCCCATCACATGGCGCCTCATGCAGGCTGATGATACTATCGGCTCATGGCCACAGCTCTTGAGCGACTCATTTCAATGGATGCGGCGCCACTACGACAAGCCTCAAATTTTGCCATCCACAAACGACCTTCATGCCTGGATTGCTCATGTCCAGTTGGACCCCTACTGGAAAGGCCGTGTCAAGAAAACAGCGCGACTGGCCTTTCACTACAATGCAGCCCAGGCTGAGCACATGGTATGGCAACATAACTTTGAGGCCACGTTGGAAGCAGCGGGTGCAACCTTGCCGACAAACCCCACCATCACCCCTGGCCCGGAGAGGTGGATGTGTGACCTTTGCAACAAGGTCTTCCAGTCTACCCGGGCGCTTGCAATGCATGCCAGCCGCGAGCACGGCTACAGGAAGAAAGTACGTTACTTCGCAGTAGGTGACACATGTCCTGCTTGCTGCCAGCTGTTCCACACAAGAAACCGACTGGCAATCCACCTGGAGAAGAACACCAAGTGCTATGATGTGGTGCAAGCATGTTGGCCACCGATGCCGCAGGCCCAAGTTGACCTCTTGGATGCCGAGGACAAGCAGACTGAGTCCCAGTTACGCCGAGCTGGATGGTGGGCATCCAAAGCCTTTGATCCCGCAGTTCAGACCGCAGGACCACGGCTACCACCGCTTCATGACCCGGCCTGTGAGATCCTCTACAACAAAACGCTCTGCAGACGTCCCCCTGATGAGGTAGCTTACCATAACCTGCAAGGGCACCGTGTTGAAGCTGACCCCACCAAACATCAAGGCCTGTGGTGGCACAACAGTGACCTTCCATCCTTCATTCTCCAATCACCTCAAGGAGTCGATAGTGGATGAGGCGCATTTTGCATGGGAGGCTTAGCCAGAGATGCAGCGCGGTTACACATTCGCGCCCTGGTGGTGGTGCACTTCTTTAGCGGCTACCGCCGTGAGGGCGATTTGCACCAAATAGTCGAGCAAGCGGCGCAGGACAACGGAGACCAGATCTTTGTGATCTCAGTAGATCTCTGTATGCAACGCCAAAAAGCTGACCTCGCGACCCACACAGCCCTGGTGTGGTGGAAAAGCAGGGCATATGCTGGGCAGCTGATCTCGGTCGGTGGCGGGCCGCCTTGTGAGACGTACACAGCCGCCCGCCAATGCGATGACCTTGGACCCCGCCCTTTGCGCTCCAATGGGGAACCGCTAGGGCTGCCAGGTCTCACCATCAAAGAATGGAAGCAAATCCACATTGGGGATAGACTTCTCCGATTCCTCCTTGACATGCTCCTGACCATGGCCCTACTGGGATACTCAGGCTTTGTGGAACATCCGCAATACCCGACTTGGACGGGAAGAAGCGATGTCACAAGCATCTGGTGCCTACGTGCCACCAAGCTGTTGCGACGCTTGAACTGTGTGACCGTAGTGAGTTTCGACCAATGCACATGCGGGGCTCTAGGGCGCAAGCCCACCACCTTGCTCTTGGTGCGAATGAGCCAGGTGAGACGCCGTCTGCTTGCATTGGGCCGTGGAGGAAGATGCAACCATCACAAAGGAGCACATCAAGCCCTCATCGGCAAGCAGGAGGATGGAACCTTCCAAACGGCGAAGGCGAAGATCTATCCGTACAGACTTAATTTGATTTTGGGTCAGGCAATGCACACCTTCGCGGCTGACCACCTCACCGCTGAAGTTGCCAAGGTGCTGCCTGATGAATTTGCACCATATACAGAGCAGTTTTTCATGGATCACACAGAAATCCAAAGGGATTATCATGGCTGATCCGCTGCTGGTGCACCCCTAGCATGCGACACCGAGTGCTGATCCGGCACAGCAGAGGCATTGGAAAATGGGGTTCAAACCACCAACCAGTAAAAACATAAACAATTTCTATCAATTTCTCATATATCCACCACAAATCCATAATCTCCAATGTAACTGGGGATGCTGCCCTGAGAGATCTGTCCACAGGTTCACAAGCCAACCCTCTGAGCAGTGGCTAAACCCCCCTCTTGGATCTCTTGGTTGGTGACAGCCAGGAAGTTATACCCGTTTTTTATGGGAACGTGAACCGAACCGACTCATGAGGGGAATCCCAGGCAGCGACGATTGCTGGCATGCTGATTGCTTTTGTGGCAGCCATGGCATTTTTGAAGCTTCGGTATGAACACGCTTCGCTTGCAACGGTGTGCTGACACCCTGATTATACGCTCGGTTGTTGTTAGGGTGTTCTATTCAATAACCAAACGAACGGGTTCAGGTTCAATACCCCATGCTATCCACATGATAACATTAATTACCAGTAGTACCCGCACGAGGCGGGGCGGAAGTTGCCTTAGGGATATATATATATATATACATATATAAGACCTTTCTCATCTATAGAACTTGCATGCGCCGTGCGCCAGCCAAGCCCGTGCGTGCGTGCACTCTGCGAAACTGGTGTCTTGTTTCACATGTGGGGCCCCATGTCACATTTCAAGCTCCACTTCACACTTGACAGTCCTCACACTCCACACTACACACTTCACACTGCACTCTTCACACTGCACCCTTCGCAGTCAACACTTAACTTCACACTGTACTCTTAAGACTCCACACTTCACACTTCACACTCCACACTTCACACTTCACACTGCACTCTTCGCACTCCAAACTTCACACTTCGCACTCCAAACTTCACACTTCACAGTCCACACTTCACGCTTCACACTCCACACTTCGCACTGCACTCTTCACGCCCTTTCTCACTGCACTCTTCAACACTCCAAACTTCACACTTCACACTTCACACTGCACTCTTCACGCCCCACACTTCACACTGCACTCTTCACACCCCACACTTCCTCTCATCTGAGCTCTTCTCACCTTATCCCAGCTCAGCTCTTCTCATCTCATCTCTTCTCATATGTCATCTAAGCTTTCATGAATCACTTCCCAGTACTACTACTACTAATCACTGTCGCAGCCTTGATGCACCCACTCCAATACGATTTACGATCTTCAGCTGCTAAAGACAATAGTATTACGCATGCAGCCGCTGCGCCAAGCAACCTTGACGCAGGCATTCCAATGCAATTTGCAGAGACTCAGTTGCAAAACACAATAGAACTATGCGCAATGGTGTCGGAAATTGCAGCTCCAAAACCGGGATCTCGACGCCAAAGCAGAAAAAAGACGATTTTGAAGCACTTGTTAAAAGGATTTTTAAAAGGAAAATTGCTAGCGCCAAAATTGCGAAAATCTGCTGACAATGCCACTGTCGCAGCCTTGATGCAGCCATTCCAATACGATTTACGATCTTCAGCTGCAAAAGACAGTAGTATTACGCATGCAGCCGCAGCACCAAGCAACCTTGACGCAGCCATTCCAATGCGATCTGCAGAGACTGAGTTGCAAAACGCAATAGAACTATGCGCAATGGTGTCGGAAATTGCAGCTCCAAAACCGGATCTTGACGCCAAAGCAGAAAAAAGACGATTTTGAAGCACTTTTTAAAAGGATTTTTAAACGGAAAATTACTAGCGCAAAATTGCGAAAATCTGCTGCCAAATCACTATCGCAGCCTGGATGCAGCCATTATAATGCGTTTCGAAGCATCACGTCGCTAACCCGCATCTCTCTACGCGCATGGCAACACCAAATGGCAACAATCATGCAGCCATTCCAATGCGATCTGCCACCACAGCTTCAAGAAACGCATAGAACTACGCACACAGGAACAACCATTCGTTGCAAAACACATAGGAGGAACAATTCGCGACAGAAACGACCGCAGCCGCAACCGCCGCACAGACGACGTACCTTTCATCGCCGGCTGCAGCCACTTTACACGGAAAAACACAAGGTTTCGTGCTCTGGCTTCCTCCCCAAAACATAGCCCATGCAACATTCATGCAACCATTACAATGCGTTTCGCAGCATCCCGTAGCAAACCTGCACCTATCTACGCACGTGGCAACACCAAATGGCAACAATCATGCAGCCATTCCAATGCGATCTGCCACCACAGCTTCAAGAAACACATAGAACTACGCACACAGGAACAACCATTCGTTGCAAAACACATAGGAGGAACAATTCGCGACAGAAACGACCGCAGCCGCAACCGCCGCACAGACGACGTACCTTTCATCGCCGGCTGCAGCCACTTTACACGGAAAAACACAAGGTTTCGTGCTCCGGCTTCCTCCCCACAACACACGGCATGCAACATTCATGCAGCCATTCCAATGCGATCTGCAACCACAGCTTCAAGAAACGCATAGAACTACGCACACAGGAACAACCATTGTTGCAAAACTCATAGAAGGAACCAAGCAACCGCAGCCGCAACCGCCGCACACACGAGGTACCTTTCATCGCCGGCTGCAGCCACTTTACACGGAAAAACACAAAGTTTCGTGCTCCCGCTTCCTCCCCAACTCACCACTTCCCTTCCTCACCACTTCCCTTCCTCACCACTTGCCTTCGTCATCACTCCCCTTCATCACCACTTCCCTTCTTCACCACTTCCCTTCCTCACCACTTCCCATCGTCACCGCTTCCCTTCCTCACCACTTCCCTTCCTCACCACTCCCCTTCATCATCACTTCCCTTCTTCACCACTTCCCTTCCTCACCACTTCCCATCGTCACCACTTCCCATCGTCACCACTTCCCTTCGTCACCACTTCCCTTCGTCACCACCCGTCATTATCACCACCCTTCATCAAAGTCAATTCCACTGCTTCTTATTCTTTTGTTATGTATTGTTATGTTATGTATTGTTATGTGATCTACCACCCTACATCATTTCAAGTCGCAGAATTCTATTTGTCCGTAACACGGAAGTATTGCTTCCCAACTTCCTTTGATAATGATATATAATGGTTCAATCCCCACAATAGTTTATGGTATGAACCATCATGGCATGTGTTTAATGGACTGTTTAATGGTATTGAACCTATGTGAGCAATCCAGAAAAAACAGTCCAGTTTCTCGGCAGGCACATGCCACCTCCCAGAGACTCAGAAATTGAAACCGCATCACCACAACAGCCCAAATCGGAGAATCATTTCGTAAATCAAGGATCTATGGCGGAGATTTGTATGGATTTGTGTCAATGATATAATTTCGTAAATGCACGGGGTTCTATGTCGATGTAAACGGATAATGAAGATATGATTTGATTGAAACAATGAGGGTTAATGATGATGGGGGTAGTGAACTCATCATTTGGGCCGTTCCGGCACTGGATTTTCTGGTGTGCGGGTTTTCCAACTACAACTGCTCGACGGGATAATGTTCCCTTATCGGAATGAAGATCTGATGTTAGCCATTTGAATTTGAGGCGTGTTTTCTACATAGAGATCAGAGATATTGCTTTTGAATGCAACATGATTGTTCTTGCGTCGAGGTTCAGGTTATAGCTGTCTAAGCTCGATGACATCACTGCAATGGCTAATTGTGACTCAACACCCTGGCAGACATGCAAACCCTGTTCAGATCTCTCGATCTCTCTCTCTCTATCTCTCTCTCTCTCTGTTTATATGTATATATATATATTTACACATAATATCTACATATATATAAATATACATTTACATATTATGCATACGGCAATCGGCTCCCTTATGGCTTTTAAACCATATACACCATTTACTTACTGGGACGAACGCCAAAATATTGGAGGATCATCCCACGGATCGTCAGTGGCTAGTGTCCCATTGGGATGATCCGCCAAGTGTCCCCATTTCGTTCTGTTCATCTGTGCTTGGGTCATCCCACCCGGTCTTGCCATGTAAGGAATTCGGCCTTGGAATGGACTGGCAGTTTGGTTGGCATCCAGGGCCTCACCTGCGATCTCGCCGCTTT